CGCTAACTTGGGTACAACAGTCCAGTACGCTAACCGTTACACCATCGCCGCCGCAATGATCGACCTGAGCTCCACGAACCTGCTACCCATTATTTATACTTTCCAAATTAACAAGGTAGTTTACCAAATTGACAAGTTTTACGGCCAATAATTAAGCGTAGCTTTTGGCTATTCTTGCCGGCGTTTTTATCATTTCCTCGAACACAGAGAAATGTATCTCATGTTGCAGAAAATCGATCACGAAATGTTGGGAGTTCCTTATTTTGTTAGTCCAAATCGAAATATTTTTGTCGCCTGTCAGTCTGTTAACAGCATTAGCGCATAAATCGTACAAATATGATGTTATATAACATTTCCTGTATTTCAGATAATTTTGAGATGGTTGTTTATAAATGAGTGCGAGGACGAACTTTTTAAATCTAAAGAAACTTCGAGTATTGGCCAGTATTGTTGAGTTGTGAATGTCGCCATGGCAACATTCACAACTCAACATTATGAATTCTGTTAAATTGCATTGAGATATATAGATTTGATCCGTATTCCTCTCGTGAAATTAAAACCAATAGTGTTTAACTAAACGTACGAAATTCCTCAGTCAGAGCGGTGTATCTCAAAAAGTTAATCGCTTTTTCTATCCGATTTTTCTTACCGCTTCTATCTATTGGCCAATCATATACTGTAGCTCATCTATCTTAGGAGGCGCTATACATCGATCGCTAAGTCAATGTTCAATAAACAGCGTATGTACTATAACATAACCTCTGATTTTAACATTTGCTTTCAGTTATTTTCAATATTTGGCGCATTTCGCAACTGTTGGACATAATTTCACTCGTGAAATAGTCCTATTAAATACTACTCAGCTTTGAAAGTTTTTGATAAATCTTCTCGTGGCTTCGCGAGCTGGGAATTTATCGACAATTTCCAAAGCATTTGTGGTGTTACCTATGATAAACACACTATTTATTGGCCATTAATGCAATTAAACCATAAATTGTTCTTAAAGTGGGTTTCAGGAAACATTTGAGGTGTATTTCTAGATGTTTGATGAGATGTTTTAGAAGATACTAGATAAAATGTTAGAAGTACATAATTTCTTATGTAATTATTATTTTACATAACTGTTGGGGACACTCCAAAAATATATTTTTTAAGTAGTATTTCTTGTAGTTATCGCAATAACTATCACATCGTTGTTAGCATTTCGGTTCTACCAATAGAAAAAAATATAAAAGTGTTATTGTTGAAATATTTATGTACCAAGGGTGCTATCAGGGTTCTAATTATCGAGCGGGGCTTTTTGCTCTCGGCCTCTTTGGCGCCGCTCGATTAATAGAACTAGTTAATACCCGTGGTACTACGTACAATATATAATTTTTTACCTACTTCTACTGATTATTTTTACTTGTTTACTAATTAACTAGATATTAACTTAACTCCGTTTGTGTTTTTCATATTTCTCTCATTATTCCCTAATGATAATCCCCGCATAAGAGAACGTGTAACATCATTCAACTGTTTTTATAATTCCCTCGATCCCTAGATCTAGGTAAGTTATGTAGTGTATATTGAGTTCCAAATCAAAGGTAATAACAAGCAATAACGTATCAGTAAAATTAAACATTTTTAACATTGTCTCTTAAGGCTAAGAAATGCTTTTGGTAGTCATGAAGCTTTTATTTCATTGCATTTCAAATAAGATTTGTTTCTTTATAGGGCATTTTTATTAATTAGAAATTTTATTGAAATTCAACACTACACAAGGTATAATAACATGACAACAATAAGAATTTGCTCTCATTTACATCAATCAAAACAACATACTTCTGAAAACATAAATGTTTACATTGAAAATGTATATTTACCAAAGTTATAATTCAATATGTCATGGATGATTAAAATTAAAATTCCTTTTTCAGGATGTGGTACCTCAAAATTCGGAGGAAGCAGATGAGCAGTTTCTGCAGTTCCTGCAATAGTCAAATGAGACTAAACCACATTGAATACAGGATTCTTCATGCGGGTTGATCAACTGACTGAATTCATTAATGAATGCTCAAGTATCATTTCAATTTGAAATTAACACTGTGAGATATGAGGGAGTAAGATATTGTCTTTCTCCAATTATTATAAAAATATTACTGTCCTGTACACAGAAATTATGAGAACTAGCTATATTAAATTACTTTGTAATTCAGGTGATATAAATCTTTACATTACTTTGCAATTAAAGAAAAACATATCTTGAATTAAATATGTTTAGAAACATTAACATGCTTTACAAAAAGTTTTTATGAATGTTTTTTAAGTGATTTGATATGAAAATTTTATAAAATGAAACACTGTGAAGAACTTAGAGTTAATAATGTATTTACCTTGATATATTTATGTGACCATTATAATTTAAGAAAAATACGTAGTTTACTAGGAATCAGTTTTTATCTTTAAGCATATTCAGTGAAGATGAATAAATATATACATAAACTTACGCATTTTTACTTTGGATACTGAAAAGATTTCCTATTTCAAGTTTCCTAATTTCACCATGAATAAACATTTTGTTGCGAAGTATATCCAATGTTTCTATTTCATGTGTCAAATTATGCTGTGAGAGATTGTGTGAATGCAATATTATATTATTGTACGTTGTTTGCAAAATTTGGATAGTGAAGTAGTGTGCTGAATTTAACAACAGATTTTTTATACATAAAAGTTAATATCTTAATGAAAGTTCATGAAAACTTTACCACGTTTCGACCTCTTAAACGTTTCAGTTCTCTCTCGGGTATAAAATCTGAAAAAAATCTTACAATCGAAACATATTAAATTATACAGCATGTTATCACTGAACATATCTTAAAAATGGTATGCACTATGAATTGGAATTAGCTCCAGATCCACGTTAAAAATCACAGCTATTTTAGAATATCAATCTGTGGACTTCTCCATATTCATAACAATTACAATATAGTAGTAATGAAATAATAGCAGCTTTTGATAACTTAGCCATCATTAGTTTTCTAGGACAAGAAACAAACATTAAAACACAAATCAAAAAACAATATTAGAATAAATAGGTTACTAATAATACGTACTGTTGGCAATGACACCTCATATATCTATTTCATTGTAAATGCTAACGAAATTTCACCACAATACTAAATTACAATACTGTTAAACTTCAGACAGATACAACGAAACATAGCAAGAAATGTCATATATTTTAATGCTTAGTTTTGTTGCATGTGAGATTTGGCCATATTAAAAGTTTTGCCTTCAATTTTTTTCTCCTGACTTATAATTTCTGTACACTAATTTGAATTCTTTTATTCCTTGACTCTGTTGTAGGCTAAATGTTTGTGTGTTCTCTGGTTCTTTGTTTATGAATGCTCTGTGACCGGGACTTTGGTTCTGCAGAGACCTCTGTGCTATTCTCCACCAGGGGATTTGTTCAATTCTATGCTTTATTCACTTTGGTCAGCATCTTGCTGTTTTGTAGTTTTCTTCATTGCTATAAGATGACATGTTGGATGCATGGCCAACCTTTGATTATTATTTCCCTTTAGTGCAATGTATACAAGATGATTACGCCTTTGTTTCCACTCAAGGTACGTATTCAATAATATTCATTAACTATTTAATTTGTATCTTATGTGTACTTTCACTATTATTGTTATTATAGGGATATCTATTTTTATACCTGATGAATACATCAAGTCTTGAAGTCGAAACGCTGTTCAGTTTAATGCACTGTTTTGATGATGTATTAACACTATAATATGTAATTGTAATGTTTTCGTAAATAAATTAAATATATATTATTTAAAAAATCGGTAATTAAAATCTACACACTGACGAATAGTGGACGTTAACATTAAAATATAATGAATAGTGTTGAAAATTTGTGAATCAATCATATTGGTTTTCCAAAAGAAGTGTCACTTATAATTTGCCTGTACTTTTCCAGCTTTAAGCTTATTGATAAATGTCCAAATATTATATTCTGTAATATCTTCTGGAAAGTTAATTCGTTTTGAGAATATGGTTCATTAACGAGTGAGAGGATAATATTTTTTAAACTGGAGAAACTTTGGAACATTGTTGCTGGGCTAAAGAATGCTGATGAATTTCACTGAGATTGGTAGTTTAGGCTGCTAAGTGCAATATTGACATGTACACAACTAAAATAACACTTTGACGTATATAGCGGGATATAGATGTGGTGTGATGTGTTAAAAGCAGTTTAATAAAGCGATTCACTAGATAGCTGAAATATTAAAGGACTAAAATTTTCAAATATCTATTATTTTAGTTCATGAACATTACAACTTACAGAAGAAAGTGTGTACCAGTTTTAGCACCATCAATTAATAAGAAAATGAATGTTAGCTTTAGTAACTTTATCATTTTTGCAAAATTCTAAATTCTTTCTGCTTAATTGCCAAATGTAGCTAGATAATACAGATCTAACAGTTAAGAAAGCAAATATAGATTAACAAGGAAAGAGACTGTTCTCTCATAGCTATTTCTCTACCCTTGGTAAGTCAGAAGGTTAGTTATGGACTGTTATCCAGTCAGATCCAATATTTTAAATTTAAGGTCTTGATTGAATGAAGTGTCCCATTTACAAACACACTAAACGTGAAGAAATTTTAATTGAGGAATAAACAAGAGTGACTACTATTCTTCAAACCTTACCTAAGATAATTATAATGAAAGGAAAATACAAAAAAATCAGCCAGCAATGCCTGATATAAAATATATTTAATATTTACTTTTTGTAAATATATTGAGAAAAATAGAAGACTATAATTTTAAAGAAAAGTCAGAGGATTGGAAATTTAAACTGCGCATCTAATTTTTTTGTTAAACTGATAACATGACTAGCAAATACATAAATAAACAAAATAGTTTCCTTGTGAAACAACTGAGTATGTTTTCTTGGCCTGTATTCTTACTTTCTTGTAAGGTATTTGAATGTTTTTTAAGCTCTAACAGAAACTCCAATTATATTTTTATTATTGTCATTGTTAAATACTATTTTATTTCATATTGCAATTTCTAAGTTTGATTTTAAAAATAATGGTTTCTGGGTGTTATTTTAAAGTGCACCAAGTTTTGTGGTATGTACAACACACCTTAATAAGAACAAGAAATTATAAAAACATAGAGGGTATTCATACATGATAAACATTGCAAGGCATATATAAATTTACTATAAAATAAAAGTTATTCATGAAAAATGTGAATCAGTGTAGATGAAAGTCCTATTAGAAACATTGTAGTTTCTTTGTCAGGAAAATGTTTTTGGTTTCTTTGTCAGGAAAATGTTTTTTTTAATGTTGACTTTAAAATATCCTGAGACAATTTCCTTGACTGTCTACACCTTGTGATACTGCTTTTGGTAATGTTCTTCAACCAATTGTGGTGGTGTAGTTTCAAGAGGAATTATGTTATTCAATGGTGGGGACCGGCAATAGATAGATTGGGGGTATTAACATGGTTTGTGACGCTGAAAAGCCCGGATGCTAATCGCTTGTGATGAGTCTTGACTTTTCATTCCCTTGGATAGGCCTATCCATTGCATTACATTTCAAATATTTATCACATATCAGGACTAGAAATATACTATCAAAAGACTAGATTTATAAACCTAAATATTTTCGTAACTCTTAATAATTTTTGAAGTTTATACGTGGCCCGAGTTACAAGGCAGTAAAGTGATCCGAAGTACCCATTTTGATATAATGAATGTATGTAATTAGCGTGACAGCCCGTGAACTGCGGCCATGGATTAAGTAGTACGTTTGGATAGCACGTAGACATCCCCACGCCGTATTCCAGTCTTCTCAACCTGAGAAGTAAATTTTCTCATCATCACATAGCAACGTACACTGCAAGGGAAAAACGTACACTATAGTCTTGGTTTGACCAGGAGTCGAACCCAGGGTCGCGTAGTAGAAAGCGAGCACGATGACCAAGAGCTAGGCACGAGCCTCCGCCTTGACGTAAATATATGTCAATTAATAACAAGCTTATCGATTTTGCTTTTAAATAAATAACAAAACTGATATAACTATAAAGATAATAATGCGTGTAGTGTTGTTTTTAACATTTTATTTCAAATTAAAACCTTAAAATGTTTAATTGTACTTTCACCACGTCAGGTCACCACGAAAAGCAATGAGATTTCTTTTAGAATAAAAGTGAACACACGTAAACAGCTTATTAGCACGAAACTGCTGCAACCATGTAACACTCAAAACAAATATTTTTTGGCCATTTTAAACTATCTTTTTACGAAAGTTATGAATTCGTGCGCCGAAAAAAACGCTATTTTTCGGCCGGCAAACTCTTTTTGATAGGCCCTACTAACAGAGTGAACAAATCCTATTTTTTAAATAGTAAAGTACTTCCCCTCACATGTAGTGTAGCCAGAATTCATGTCATTGATATAAAAAAATCTATTACGATAAAACGTCCGTCGGATCGCCCATCTGTCTATGGTCAACCGATTTCGTTCTACTGATTTTCTCCAAAATCAATATTTTCCAATCTAGGAGAATAAACGCAAGGCATTGGGAGTTTCCAACGGATATTATGATTTTTGAGGGTACTTTACTTGAAGCCTCAAAAATATCTTCTAAATTCTTTTAAAAATTGCTCAACTTGTTTTATGAAACTTTGTTCTCAGATAGCGTAAAGAACACATAAGAGAATAGTGTAGGCCTCATTTTCGTTGAAATCTTAGATATTTCGAAAATTGCAATAGCACAATTCCTTTGAGTGTCTTGCTTTAACTACAATATTGAAGATAGAGATTTTTTCCTTAATAAAATCTCTTTTTTAAAGACAAATTTTTAATAAAGTCAATAGTCATGTCGCATCATTAATCTTTCGAAAATATTAGTAGCTTTCGTGTAATTTTGCGTTAAATAAAGGCAATTTTATTTTTTAAACCATATTTTCCTTCAAAAAAACGGACGGTAATTTAATTTTTTAAATCAATGTAACAACAGACGGTAAAAGTATATGGCGCTAGTTCTGTTTTCGGCGAACTCTCCGTAGTTTCGAAAATTACAAAACATTCATGTTGCAAACAATTTTGGGAAGAAGTAATTTCATTTTTAATTATTGACCGGGTTTTGAACCATACGGTTCTTCTAGCGGTATGGTGACAGCGTATTAACTCTGAGAACCCAAGTTTGAGCTTAGGTGTGTAATATAGTATAATACAGCGAATCAGATAGAAATTATAGGTGAAAGTGTTTGCTGTTGTAGCACCACTTGTTTTGAAAACCGCTGCTGACCTTAGATACTAGTGTTTTACCTAATGTTAATTACAGGTTGATAACAGTATTGATTAGCACATTGATGTTAGGTTTGCAGACGGTCATGGTCTGATAGAATGACAAAGAACTCAATACAACGAATAAATAGAGATTCGTTTGCAGGTGATCGTATAACCGGAGTCGCACTGCCACAATTTGATAAGGCAATCTACTAACCCTTTTCCTCATCCCATGTCTTCAAAAAGTAGACAACAAGTTCATTTCAGGAAAATATAACGCTTCCTATTTCCTCGCAAAACTGACAACACGACTAACAATCACATGAATCAGCAAACTATTTAGACCTTGTGAATCATCTGATCAGATTTTATTGTTCTATGAATCACTACCACGATTACAACTATACCGTTAACTTCCTAATAATGTAAAACATAATGTTAATTGGAGTGACTAAACGGTTTGATTAGTGGTATTATGATCGGGTATAACCTATTTTTTATATGACTCATCTATACGAGGAATGTTTCTCCTTCCTGAAGATTCGATAATAAAGGTACTACACGTAAGGCATACGTGTTCTCGCTGCGCCGAGCCATCTGTGACCATCCACAGTCCACGTGCTCTTGGTCTCTACGTGACCATTTGGGCAGCGTGTGGGCAACTCGCTAACGAGTATTAAACGAGCGCGTGATGGCACCTTGTGCATAGGCAACTTCACTTTCATGAGCAAGAAGCGGGTTGTCTACCTCGCAGGCGCTCCTCGCTAAGCGAACATCACTTCGCACGACACAGCAGATAACACGAGGGGCTCCGTGGCGTACGTGCTAACAGACGCGACTGTTTGTTTCTCAGGTTTGAAAAACAACGCCTTGTGTTCTCTTAGTTGTAAACAATGCTGTAAACTTTGCTGATTTCCCTTCTTCTCTTACCAAACTGCCATTTCAAATGTCTCTGTCGTTGGAGTTTGAAAGTAATCAGATGATCTATGCGTTACGTTGTGGCAAAACACTTATCTTTGTTGATTCACCAATTATGTAAAATAAAACTTTTTTGGCACAAAAGTCAAAATCTGTTTCATGGTATACGATTTCTTTATACAATTTACATGTTCTTACAGACTATTCACTTCCTTTACTATGATATGCATTGTCACCTATAGTTGTTTCTTCACTTAATGACGTACGTATTACATTGTATCTTAACTCTTTGAAGTATGATAAAAACGTGTTTTTGTATAAACACTTTCTTTCATTCAAAGTCTAACTTAAATACAAAAATTGCAGGCCTCATTATAGCTATTATATTGGTAGAGTCAC